TGTATCTTAAGTGTATGAGTGTATAGGACTGGAGAGATGGCTCAGTGGTTAAGAGTACTGGCTGTTCTTGCAGAGGACCCAGGTTCAATTCCTAGCACCCACATGGCAGCTAACAACTGCCCATAACTCAGTTCCAGGGGCTCCAACGGCCTCTTCTGTCCTCTACTGGCATTGTGCAAAATGGGTGCACAAACATACATGCAGACAATATGTTCATACTCACAAAAATAAACATAATAAAATATGAGCCGGGCATGGTGGTGCACGCCTTTAATCCCAGCACTCAGGGGGCAGAGGCAGGCAGATCTCTTTGAGTTTGAGGCCATGCTGGTCTATATAGTAAGTTCTGGGCCAGCTGGGGCTATAGGGAGACCCTGTCTCAAAAAGACCCAAAATAAATAAAAAAATAAATAGTACTTTTAAAAATAAAAAAAGAATTAATCTGGATCCAGCAGTACCATGCCTAAGTATCTACCCTAGAGAAATACAAGCTTATATCCACACAGAAACCTATCTGCTGACTGGATAAACAGTATAACGTAATTGAGCTTTAAAAAAATATCCAAACTTGGGGCCAGAGAGATGGTTCAGCAGATAAGAACAATGACTGTTCTTGCGGAAGATCTGGGTTCGAATCCCAGCACCCACATGGCAGCTAAAAACTGTCTGTAACTCCAGTTCCAGGGGATCCGACAGTCTCTTCTGACCTCCATAGACATCGCACGACATGGGTGCACTTACCTACATGCATGCAATTACACACATACACATAATAAAAAAATAATAAATAACGTATTTTTTAAAAATCTCCAAACTTTTGATACATATAACTTAGATGAAACTCAAAAGTCATTTTTCTGGATAAAAGAAATCAGTCTTGAAAGTTACACACATGTATGGCTCCATTTATACAAAACTCTCAAAACAACAAAACTCTAGGATCCAAAGCAATGGTTATGGGTAACAAAAGAGAATATCACGAGGGAATTTTTTAGTGTGACAGAGTGACCTGAATTTTATCTATAGTGGTATTTGCATATATCTATACATAATCTATAAAATTAATAAAACTGTGCACTAAAATGAGAAACTAATTTTACTATATGATAATTTCAAAAGTCTATAGTCACATTTGGGCTTTTCAAGGCCTGGTGAAGCAGAAAAGTTGGTTTGTTGGTATGTGGGTTCTGTTCACTGGGTTGGTTCCCTTCTGTCTACTGGGCTCATGGTTGGAACAACAAATAACTCATAAGCAACCTATGGAAAGTTGAAGGGAAAGCCCAAACCAGTTAGACGTCTTGGTAGGAAGTCCAGGCCACGGTTTATTTTAGTATGGTGTGTCTATGGTATGATGTGTTTTGTGTAGTGTATACACTTAATGTACATGTGTGCACGTGTGTGCAAATGTGTGCAAGTGTGCAAGTGTGTGTGTGTGTGTGTGTACGTGTGCCTGTAGAAGTAGATTTTGGGTGTCTTACTCAATCATTTTCTACCTTTATTTTTGAGACAGGGTCCCTCATTGAACCTGAAGTCATCGATTCTACTAGGCTGGGTGGCCAACAAGCTTCAGGAACTCCCCCGTCTCTGCCCTCCCATTACCCAGTGCTGGGGTTAGAGGCATGTGCCACTAACAGTGGGCACTTTATTCACTGAGCTATCTTCTTAGCACCTAGGTCACCGTTTAGTGGGTAAGAACTCTTGGAACAAAGGAGAAAATTAATGTAGTGACCAGAATTTTCATTTGGCTGCATCACGTTGGGTCAGCTTGCTCTATTTTGTCCCCAAAGAAAATTTTCACTGATTCCCTAGAGGCGAACCATGGAAGTACAAAGGACTTTCAGTTCCTCACTCTTAGACCTTGTACTCCCTTTACATGGATTTCCCAGAAATGGCTTTCTGCTGCCTTGTCTACACAGCACCCTCGTCTGCCAGTCCTTTCAAATTCCCACCGTCAATATTTCTCTGCTCATTTACAGTCTCATCAGTGAAAGCCAGCCATCTAAACACATTATTGATTACATACCAAGCACCAACAGCTCTGAATCTATCTTGTGGAGGAGAACCAATCCTCTGGGTGTTTTGCGTTGGATAAAACAATCATATGAACCTTGGTCCTTGATCTGAACATTGTCAAGTTGCAGAGCTGAATTTTCCTCATCAAAGCTTGTACGGTGCAGGTACTTGGCATCCACACTGTCAAGTTTCTCTTTGCCCAAATACAACTCATACAGAACCAACTTTTCCTGGTCCTGCCAAAATATTACCAGCTCACTCCGGCTTATGTTTTGAGGGTTTGCAAATGGGCACGGCAAGTATGCAGTCTTATTGAAATAAGCCTGGCTCTTCAGAGGAGCAGCATCTAAAAAAGAAAAGCTGAGAGTTAGGAAAGAGGAAACAAGAAGGAAGAAAAGGAAATTCTGTTTCTCTAATACAACACCAAGGTGCTAGCTTCAGGGATGGTACTGGAGGACTTGATGCTAAGACCTGGAACTGGGCACCCATCTGGAATTAGGAGTTTTACTCTTGCTCCACTACTCACTGAATGTGTGACTTTGTGCAAACTGCAACCTTTGGGAGCCTCAGTTTCCTCATCTGCTTAAGGAAGTAGAAGAATAAATGTTCTAGGAATTTTCCTGGTACTGGGGTTCTGTGAATTCCTAAACCAGATTATCAACTGTCATCACTGTGGCGGTTGCAGGATCCCTATATAGCTCTTATGTCATTCCCCAAACCCTCCCTGCCCTATAAGTTCCTCTTATGCTTTGGTTTGCTATGGTAAAAAAAGATTGCTGATGATGGTAATAATTTTCTATTACCCCTTTTATTATGTTTCATTAGTTGGGGGTCCTACTGAGTAATCTCTTTAAAATTCAAGCAGTTCCTTTATAGACCTTCCCCCATGGCTGCTGTTCTCATGACCAGCTCTTCCAAGGACAGAAAAGGGTTTGGAAATGAATGGACGAATGCCCCTCTATTCTCAGCAACCTCCCTAGGCTCTTTCAGGGATTAGAAAGAGAACTGGGCAAATATGATGGTTGTTTGGGGATTATGGTAACCAGTCATTTAAGGCACATGAATGAACTCCTGGGAGTGAACTGTGAGTGGGAAGGTGAGGATGTGCTTTGGAGTATTGGGGAAACCCCAAGCAAATTGACTTGCTGCTCCCAGGCTGCACTGCCCCTACAAACTTTCACAAACCAAAGGGAACATGATGGGAAAGTTCAGAGGTGTTTGTCTCTGAGGACTTCCTGGTATGATCCACCTCTTAAATATAATGTCATGAGGTCTTTGTAAGACCTTTTCTGGGTCAAGTATTAAGACTTAGCAAAATATAAATAAATAATAAATAGAGGAAGATGAGAGGTGGAAGGTGAGGTGGGTGTGCTGTTACTCAGTCCATATGAAGTTAGATGCTGTCATGGGGAGAATGTTGGAGTAGGTTCTGAATAAAGAGCCATCGTGCAGGGTTTCAGGAAGGGGATGCTGATATTAAGGAGGAAAAGGAGTATGTAAGGGAGACGAAAGTAGTTTCACCTGAAGTGTTGGTGGTATAGGAGAAATTTAACTGACCTGGTCAGTGGGTCTCTCTTCAAATAGAGATGTTCCCAATAGTTGTGGGTCACAGATCTTACTCTGAATTGGTAGGTGAAGAGGGAAGAAGCTAGTTGGGGGTTGTGGAGGAGAGGAAGCTCTTTTATCTTTTGGAGAAGCAGATGATCAAGCAGCAAAGACATTCACTGGCAAAACTGAACTGCACACAGACTACCCCCAGTGAGAACCCATTGCCAATGATCTTGAGGGAAACTCCAGGTATCAATGGCATGTGAATTCTGTGAATCACTTGAAGTATAGGGTGCATGCCTGTGCTGGAAGGAGAGAAATCTCTGGGTTTCCAGAACAGTGGGAAGGGAACCTAAGGAAAATTCACTATATTCAATAGCTACCTTACCAGGCAAGCCTGTGCCTTCTGTTACACCTTTGCCAGGTTCTTAACAAAAAGGCAAGAGTGCCACCTACTGTGAAAGTTCACAGTGCTCTCAGGGTTGGGGACTTTAGGGAGAATGAGACACATTCTAGTTTGGGCCTAACTTGTATGACTCTAGGCAGATGATCTAATGGAGAAACCAAAGAGCTGAAACGTCCACCAGCTGTCTGTCAGTAGTACATCCTTGCTAGGTTATCAGTTGCATCTCCAGGATTGGGATGTGACTTCACCCTTCCCTTCTTCTATCTTCTTGACACATAGTTGCACAGATTTTTTTTTTCCTCTGCAGAACCTCTTTTCAACTCAGCCTAGTTCAACTTCTCCAATCCAGGCTCCTTCTCCAAAAAGATAACAAGAGTTCCTCCCCCACTCCAACCCCCCCCCCCAAGCTAGCTTCTTCCCTCTTCACCTACCAACCCAAAGCATGATCTGAGACCCACAGCCATTGGTATTATCTATGGGCTGGTCAGACATGCAGAATCTCTGGTCCCACCCAAGATCTGGATCAGAATTTGCATTTTTACCAAAAGCTCCTATTTGAGAAGCTGTTGTACAGTCTCTGCCTGTCTCCCGAGTGAATCAGAGAAGATGGCAGGACACACTTGTTTTCACCCAACCCTCTCCAAACCCCTTCTCCTACCCATGGGGTGGAAGGCACTCTGTAGGCCATTCTGAGTGGAACTGAAAGTATTTCACAATTAATACACCATGGCTCACCACCAGACACTGGTTTTCTTGATGTCACTCAGAGCTGGACAAGGCACATCTTTCTAACCCCGACCATTTGGGGAAGATTTGACCCACGATCTGTTTTTCCCAGGTGGCTTTAGGCTTCCCTGTTATGATTCCCAGAGCTTAGGGCCTAAGCAATTGGACTTCCTGAGATTCCATTGGTGGAAAGCATTGAGAAGCCCTCTCTCTTCCTATACTTGGATAAGAGAAGTGGTCTAGGTCTAGTTCTGACTGATTTCTGTGATGATGTTAGGAGCTAGGCATACAAAAACTCAGCTACATATCTCCCTATTCAGGAGTTAGTGATCAAGAATACCACCACAGCAATAGACCATCTGAGTGCCACACAAAACCCATCATCTGATAACGCTGTGGGTCTGTGATGCCACCAGAACTTCAGTCTTCCTTAGTCATTATCCCAAATGCAGGTCATACATTAATGGGTCATCTCTTTCTTGTGTTAATATACTTATTACATTCACACATTTTTCTTCTTTTACTCAATTTCCTCCAAAGCTTTCCTGGGCCTGCTGGAAACACCACTTCATTGCATTAGATTCTACTATGACTTCAACCTCTTGAATAAATATTTATTTTAATGTTGTTTCAATAAAATATGGTTCTACCCAAAGGAAGCCACATGCCCCCCTCCCCCCAGACACTGCTTGTTTTATCAGCAGACATCTTGAGCAGTTCCTCTCTGTTTAGAGGTATCCCCTATCTCAGTATTGTGATCCACTAATTATTAGTCACAATTTCTTTATTCAGGGAGGACTTTGATATTAGATGCAGGGTCATTCTTTCTACCCAATTCTCACCATAACTGCGAAGATAAATCTAATAATTTTCTAACCTTGTCCCATAACCCATGATTCCTCCAGGTTTTACTCTCACTTTCTCCCTCTACATCTGTTCTTCAATTTCACTGAGACTTCTGCTTTCTCAGTCTTGACTCCATAGTGCAGAGTTTCCCAAAAGAACTCTTGGAAGGGACAGAAGTGTTCTCTCTGGTGACCAATGTGGTAGCTACTAGTCACTGTGGCTTTTGAGCCCTTGATAAGTAGTTATTGTGACAGAGAAACTGGCTTTTTTTTTTTTTAACTTTTGGTCTTTTTGAGATAGTCTCCCTGTAGCCCCAGCTGATCTGGAACTCGCTAAGTACACCAGGCTGGCCTTGAACTCATAGAGATCCGCCTGCCTCTGCCTCCTGAGTGCTGGGATTAAAGGTGTTTAAAGAGTCACATATGGCTAGTGGCTATTGTTCAGGACAGTGCAACAACAGAACAGCTTTTTACCTATTCTTTGCAGGTTCAATAAATGTGCCCTTTGTCTTGGTAGAATTCCTACTTTTAATATATACATATATAATCTGTTCCTACAACTGTGAGGATGAGTACCCTTAGAAGAAATGATTCCACTGTACAGACAGATGACATTTGAAATTTGTGATGTTCAGCCTCTTTGAACTTGGCCTCCAGCGCTGTCCTGTCTCAAAACAGCTCTCTTCTGCTCCTCCTTTCAGTTTCCACTTCTCTCACTGTTCTAGTCAGATTCTCTGAGTGAGCAGAAATGGCTTCCTTCCCTCTCCACTGCTCACCCCCACCTCTCCTGAAGCTGTCCTAACAAAGGATGTTAGCCACTTCCCACCTCTTTGAAGCCCCGTGCTCTTTCTGACCTCATCCCATTTAACCATTCTGTCAAATGTAGCCCAGCTGACATCATTCCTTCAAATGATCTGTTCTTCCTCAATCTGACTTGACCAAGAGGTCAAGTGTCTGTTCTCTCTGGGATTTTTTTCTCTATCCTCATTGACTCAACACAAATGTAAGATGATAATACTATATTTATAATGATAAAGTCTACAACTTTTGCTGTAATTCCAGACCCCACAACCAACTGCCTGCTGGAGGCTTTCATTTAGACAGGATACTCTCTTCCTCCTCTTCAAACCTTCTTCCTCTACCTCAATGAATGGCTCCCTCACCCACTGCCATCCACAATCTTGGGATTATCTGTAGGAAATGCCCAAGAGTCAGCCTACACCAATGTTGCTGTGGAGATTTAGAGTTACTACAGCCAGAGCTGAACTCTAACATATTAAGAGAAGAGTGGTGATTTGACTATGAAGCAAAAAGAAAGGACTAGCAGAAAAAGACTTTTTCTTATCTGGGGACCTTGGGGCCATTATCTTTCAGGTCACTAAAGAGAGATTGATTCCCTGTTACAAGGCAAAGATGGTTTTTAGCCATTTCTTTTAAAAAATTTTTTATTTATTTATTTTATTTTATGGTATGGATATATTGCCTGCATGTATGTAAGTTCACCCGTGTTGTGCAGCACCTGCAGGAACAGAAGAGAGCTTTGGATTCCCTGGAAATGGAGTTAAGGACAATTGTTAGCCACCATGTGGGTGCTGGGATTTGAACCCAGGTCTTCTGCAAGAATAGCCAATGCTCTTAACTGCTGAGCCATCGCTCCAGCCCTTTCTTAGCCATTTTTATGATTGGGAGGATATTTCTGTTAAAATTAGCTTTGACTTCACATTCACCATGCATCTTGTTACATAGCTAAATACATGCAAAAATATGCATTAGTAGATTATAAGTATTATATATGTTATATATAATATGCTATGCTTAATG